GAGTCTGATGTGGGACTCGATCCCAGGACCCCAGGATCATGCCCTGAGCTTAAGGCAGACGCTCAACCACTGAGCTACCCAGGTGTCCCTTTCTCTCTTTTGTCCACTGAAATAAGCCAGACTCTGGGAGGATAGAGCCTAGGCTTTAAGGGAGCAGGAGCATAACAGCTCTGTTCTGGAAGGAACTCATGCCAAGCTGCATCCCCCACCTCGAGCCCCTTCAGAACAAGTGAGGCCCTGTAGCTTCTCCTTGGCCAGGAAGCCCTGCCCCTCTGTGTATGGGTTCAAGGGTAGCCCCCGTAACCCCACTGTGGGTGCTGAAGGGCTGGGCATAGGGAAGGGGGCCCAGCTCACGAATTGCAAGTCCCAGTAAGGAAAGCCAGGAGATCACGTGGGCACTCTCTGCTCCAGAAGGCAGGTTGAGGGAAAGCATGCCATCAGAACTCTGTGGCCCAGCAGGGGACATGCCCCTCAGAGGGCCTCCTGGTTGCTTCTCCAAGCCACAGAGTTAGAGGCTGCCGCATCCCAGAAAATGTCCTAAGAGATGCCCCATTGACCCCCTGGGAGCTGAGACTAATGAGCAATTGGATGCTGGCACCACGGGAAGGAATAGCCTCATGCCCTTTGCATCAGAAGTCTTGGAAAGGGGGTGGGGGAGAGAGGATTACACAGGCATTCCTAGGTGGGCACAGCTTTTAGTGGTATAACTGGCAGCTCAAATGCCCCCTCCACCCTGAACCTGCACAGATCTCTGCTCTCAGTGGTTAGTAGGATACATAGACAGAGGTCACTTATTAAAGGAAGATTCTGGAAATAAGCACAGCTCTGCTGGGTAGGAGGAGTTCTGAGTTCCTTGGGGGTGGTGGCCTTGATCATAGAGGACAGGGAAGCAAGGCTTTTTTATGGTGGGCCAAGACCTGACAGTGGGATACACCACAGACTTGACAATTCAGGCACTGTGGCTGGTGTGGGCTCTGGGAAGTAGCCCAGGGAGTGCTACCCAGGCAGGCTTGTTCCCATGCACAGGTGCCCAAAAACCCATTCCCATGCCTCTAAGATCACTGCTACTTCCAGAAGTGAAGTTTCTGCCGCTGAAGCAAGCTGCTAGGTACCTGCCTTATTGTTAATAGAGAGGATTGCAGCACTATGTGGCTCCTTTTTACCTCATTCTTGTCCTCCTCTGGTCAACCTGACTTCCAGGCATTCAGAGCCCCGCTGCTTCAGTGTTAGTGGGAGGTGGGATTGTCTGTCGCTCAGGAAACCGAGGCTCCCTGTGAGGAGCACCATCTGTATGCAGCAGACTTCAATCTTGGGACTTTATTTAAGGGCAGCAGAGTGCAGTCTGGCCACTGCTGGCATTCATCAGGCCACCGGGTTTTGTGACTGAGCACAAACAAGGGGGCATAGAGGCCAAGCAGCCAGGGAGAACTTGGGAGAATCAGGGGGCTCTAGCCTTCTGGTGACACCATTGTTCCACCCTACCAGGATGTCCCCCACCCCAGAGATCTGACTTTCCAGAGCTTTTCTGCTAGGGAGTGGGGGGGGGGGGGCGGACAGACTGTGTGTGTGTGTGTGTGTGTGTGTGTGTGTGTGTGTGATAATGGGGCTGGGTAGGGAGCAGAGAAGGAAGAGAGGTAGTACATTTTTTTTTTCTAGAGGCCAATCCTGCCCAATAAACCCCCAAACCAAGTAGCCACACAGAGTTAGTTGGATTATAGTGGGTTAAAGTCATTTATTTTTAGACGGTACCAGCATGTTTGGTTCTGGGGTCTGAACCCCAAATTCCAGAAAAATAATGAGAACCCCATGCACTATGAGAAGGCCGTTCCGACGTGTCCGTGATCATGCTGTGAGTGGGCATAGTATATAGACCAGGAGCCCTCCCTGGACAGCTGGCAGCAGCTGGCTCTGAGCCCTCCTTGGGACTGGGGAGAGGGCCAAGACTGGATCATTTGGACCCTGTCCCTTAAGGCCTCAAGCCCCTTATTGCTACATTTGCTACTTTGCTACTTGATGGCCCCTGGGTCGCACCCAGGGGAGGCCTTATCACTGGGTGGTACTAATGAGTAGGCTGCTGGCATTTGCCCTTGCCATTGTGACAATAGCACAGAACTCTTTTCAGAGGGTCCTGGGGTGAGTTCATTTGACTGCTAGTCAACTATGCCTCTGACGGCCCTCGCTCCATACTCGGCCTGGCCAGACCCCCTGGAGGCTGGTGGCCCATGATCTTCCCCCAGCCTCAGGGCTTTCCAGCTCCCTTCTTGGAGCACCTCCCTCCAACATTCTCCACAAGGCCCAAAGACCAACAGCCCCCTATCCTTTCCAGCATGGCGCAAGGCTTCTTAGTGGTGGCTTCTGAAGCCCATGCATTTGGAGCACAATGGGAAGGGTGCGTTTTAGGAGAAACATCAACTTCCAGCAATAGCAAAAAGGCCAGATGGGTGGCAGGCTCCCGGTTCAGGGTCCCGTTGGTGAGGTAGTTTGAACACCCCAGCGATCCTGCCAGGAAAAGCGCCCCTGGAGCATGTCCCCACGTGTTCACAGGTCTACGCAACAACTCTGGGGTGCTGGCCTGTGCCTGACCCCTCGGCCTTGGTGGGGCCAGTAGCACAGCTCAGCTGACTGCCCAGGGGAGCCGGGCCCCACCATGTTCCTGGGGTACAGCCACACCTGACAGCGTCACTTTCTGGAAGGGAAGGAGCCCTCTCCCCAGCGAGAGAGTTCCTGCTGCTTGGACTGAGCCCTCTGGCTGTTGCTGGGCACTTACACGGGCCCAGCCCCCCAGTTTTCTTCTTCCCTTGAGGTGGAGGTGATCTCAGTCTGATGTCCAATGCCTGATGTCTGTGCATCTGACTTGCTGGCTCGGTGGTTGCTTCTGTGGCTCCCCTGAAGCTTTGGCTGTGGGGCTGCCAATGTGATATTTGTCCCGGAAGCTCTGAATGGGAAGAATCCCAAGTCCAGAGACTGTGCCCAGTCAAGGGAGCTAAGGAAGCTTCTGGAGGGAGGGGAAACTGCTTTGCTATAGAACTGCTTTCCAAAGTCTAATCTGGTTTGAAGTTTTGGCTGTGTAGACCAGGCCAATGGGGAACTGGCCAAGACTGTATTTTCCAAGTGTGCTTGCAATCTAAGGTCTGCACAGTAGACTGACCTTGGACTGACCAATTGGGCAGAGCAACCCCACCTCCCACTCCCCATGTTGCTTGGCTTGATCTACTGGGGAGCACATGGTGGCCACAGAACTGAGCATGCCTGGTTGGGAGGTGGGGTGATGGGATTTATTGCTCTGTGTCTGAATGCATCCGGAGCACCCTTTCCTCTTTTGAGCCTTCTGGCATGCCTTCCCTCTGGATGTCCCCAGGGGTATTTGGATACTCTCAGCCTGTGCCATCTCAGGGGTACAGTCCACCTGGCTCTGGGGGGGGGCCCTCTGGGGCCCTCCAGGGTTGGCCAAGTCTTGGCCGCCATCGCTCAGAAGCAGAGGCCAGGAGGACTGGGGAAGCCAACCCTGCCCTGTCTGCAGCCCATGGGGAAGGGCAGGAGGCAGCCAGGCCTTTGCCCTGGGTAACTGAGGGCACAGAGGCACCTGCTGTGCTAGAATGTCCTTTGTCCACATACCTACTGCCTCGATGTCAACAACATCTTGGGGACCCTTGACCGGGAGGAGCTTCTTTGGGGCAATGTTGGGTGCAGAAAAACTTGGACTGCATTTTGGTTCTGGAAAAGGAGCCTTGTGTGAAAGGCAGGGAGATAAAAAAGGGTGGAACAAAGAGAGGAGTCCAGAGACCCCATAACATGGGATAGGGCTTCCTTGCATTCATTTACTCATCAAGTAGTTACCGAGTATCTACAAGGGCCAGGACCTGTGCGGAGGTTTTGTGGAACCAGGGTGTGGGAATGCCTGACGAGAATCCGGGTGTCTATTGCCGCTGCTGAAGGCAACCTGAGGACCTAACACATGTCATCTCTCTACTGTCTAGTGTACTTGGCAGAGAGAGCAACAACTGCCAGTGGGGGAGACTGAGGCATAGTAGTCAAGAACCCACAAGGGTACAACTGGAGCCAAGTCTCCCACTGCCCAGAGTGGCCCTGCTGGGAGGGATGGAAGGCTGGTGCCCTGGGGACGGGGCTCTGTGGAACGGACACACGACAGCACAGACATGGGGCTGCAGAGATGGTCATGGAAGCACCCAGGAGGCAAGGTCTGCGAATAAGCTTATGAGCCTTTGGTCACCAGCTGGTGAATCTGCCTACGTGAGTAAAGAAATACCAGTGATCACTTTTTTTTTTTTTTTTTGCTTCTGTGTTTGCTGTTTATATACTCCCCCAGGAAAATTTTTACCTATGGACAAAAACAGATCAAAGGAGGCTAGTTCTAGCAGGTGGCGTGAGCGTCTGAATTCAACCACATGTGGCTTCATACCACTTTGTCCGAGGGCTCACAGGCATCACAATGGTGACAGTGACAATTAGGAGAGTAATAGCTACCGTTTGCTGAGCACCTACTACGCGCCAGGCACCTGACTCGGTGCTTTACATATATTACCTCACGGCCAGTTGGCAGATAGTCATTTTGACATACACATGAAGGGAGTACAAGTGGATTTTTTGCAGGTTCTTGCAGGTTTTGCTTTGTGTCTGCTTTTTCCCTTGAGGACCAACTTTGTTTAGCGGTGCCTTCGCCGGGCTGTCGGAGAACCATTTGGCCCTGGCCTAGGCCCTCTGTGGCAGCTTCAGTCCCAACTTCAGCCCCAGCGGAGACCTGGCCCGGCAGGGGCCCGGCCATGCCTGTCAGGACGCCACCATGTCGTTGGGGCTGCCAGCCGAGTGACCCAGCCACCTCCCCCCACCCCAGGGCGGGGGAGCTGCCAGAGGGGAGGACCCCAGTGGCCCTGAGTTCATGGCCATGTTTATTTTGAGTAAAACACAGGGGAACAAACCAAGGAGAAGGGGCAAAACCAGAATAAATGGGGAAATAATAAATGGTTTAAAAGGTGGTCAGAACCTCCACAGCCTGCGGAGCCACAAGCTCTTTCGTCCACTCGGGTGCTTCCTCTGGTGTGGGGCCTTGAGGCATGTGACAGGTGCGGCGGGGACCTCTCGGAAGGCTGGCCTCGGGGGCCTGAAGGAGCTGGTGGGGAAGCGATCGGCGAGGTTGCTCAGCACTGTGGCCGCACCGGGGACATGTGGCATTGGGGGGGAGGGCTTACACAGACGTGGGGAGGGGAGGGGGCGGTCGGGACACAGTGGCTGTCACTACGGGGGTGCTGTGGGTGCACCGGAGCCGGTGGGGAGGCGGGCGTAATACTGGATGTGCTCAGGGCCAGCCGGCCCCTCTGGCGTTTGCAGGGAGGCCTGATCCCCCAGCCAGGGGGGGAAGATTGTAATCTGGAGTGACAGTCACGACGGGAGCCCCACGGGGCGCCGGGCCCGGGCGAGTCAGGGCCCAGGACCTCCTAGAGAACGGGGTGTCGGCGCACAAGTACACAAGGACGAGAGGGTTGTAAACAGGGGCCTCTGCGGGGGCCGACCCCGGGCTCTGCGGACTTGGCACGGCGGCGTCCCCGGTCACCCACCGAGGCTCCCCTCGGCCGCCCGCCAGCGCCCTCACTCCTTCTCTTTCACAGTGACCAGGTCTCCCCGCAGGGAGCCTCTGTCCGCGGAGGTGGAGCGCCGCCGCCTGCCCGCGGGGTCGTCGGGCCCGGGCCCTGCGGTGGGCACCGTCAGGAGGACTGCATCAGGCCGGTGAGGCGCTTGCCCGCCAGCGACTTTCCCTGCAGAGACAGGCGACAGGGTTGGCACGCACAGGCGCACGCGCACCCGCACACACAGACAAGGACAGACAGCCAGACGGTGAATTCCTTGCCGCCCGAGCCACGGAGGCCAAACGACCTAGCTAAGTGACCCTGGCGACCTCGGGGTCCGGGGAGCCTCCGGGCCAGGCGGGGAGTGCAGGTGTGCTGCTGGCACTCTTCTTTTTCCAGGCGGGATGTGTGTGGGAACTGTACTTACCCCAAACCAGGCATTGCTGCCACTCCTAGGTAGAGGGCCTCTGGATGCTTGTGGGCTGCCCCTGGCCTGGATTTTATTCCAGCGAGGAAGGATTTTATTCCAGGGTGTTTGAGGACTCCACATTGGGACATCTATAAACCCTTCACTTGCCGCCCCTGTAGCAGTTCTTCCTCGCTGGAATAAAGCTGGACTGGGGAGTCCTAAGATCGGGGGGAGGGGGGGTGGGGTGGGGGGTTGACCCACACAGGTGATGGTTAAGGATCCAGGTGGCTAGAAGCTAATGAATGAACTAGTCTTAGGAATGCAGGAGATGGGGGAATGCAGGCGCATGCAGAAGACCCAGGATCCTGGCTGAAAGGCAGGACTGAGCCCTTCCCGGGAGAGAAACACAAGTTTTGGGAACTCTTGATGACAGGATTCTGGGCTGGTGAACAGGTGCCACTGCAAGACCCAGAGCGGCACACTCCTGCCAGGTCCTATGTTCCTGGCTCCCTGGGGGCCTGTGTTTGAGGACTCCACTTCAGGCTATCTACAAACCCTTCGCTTGCCGCCCATGCAGCAGTTCTTGAAAATGAAAACATTAAACTGGACCGTGAGGCCTGGTGCGTGAGGCACTGAGATCGTGAGAGAGGCCAGTGACTCCTGTGCCAAGGAATAGGTGGCCGAGGAGCCTCAGATGTGGGATTGAGCACCAGGAGGCTGGGGGAGGGGGATGAGCGAGTCTCAGGTGTTCTGCTTATTTCCCTTGACTCAGCCTGGGCCCATTCCTTGCTCACCCTCCTTAGCAATCCCGAGCATCGGACAGGGGTCTAGAGGAGAGTGTGGCTGGACCCAAGCAGATTGATCACGGTATCTGAGAAAATACTCGAAACCCATGCTATTATTGACAGAGGGTCAGCAACACCATCACCATCTGCAAAGGGGAGCACGTGGCCCTCATCAGCATGGGCTGTGGTGTTTGGTAGTGAGAGACTGCAAGGGCCAGCAGCTCCTCATGTCCATTTCCAAGTGGGGGTGTCAGGGCTCATCTTGTTTACTGGGCTTGGCTGTGTGCAAGCTGGATGTAATTAAAAAAAATTGATCAGGTTTGTGAAGCCTGGTAGAGTACTCAATAAACCTGCTGATTGATGCATTGATGGATAATGGGTATATCTAATAAATGAGCAAGGGCTGTGAGTTTGCTGGATGCAAGACAACGTGTCATCTGGCTTAGCTCTCCATAGAGGGACATGCCAGATTGACTTTGAGAATTCCAGTGGCATGCATGGGAGCTTGTCCAGAAATGGATCTGCCCTCGGGAGCTGTTGGAAAGTCTGCATCAACATCCCCTTGCTCTTTTTCTCCTTTTCTTTCACTCTTCCTTTTCCCTAGTGAGACAAAACTTAATTTTTTTCTCCCCTATTTTAAGCCCCCCCACACACATAACACACAGAATCTCCCCATCAGCAACCTTATCTGAATCTTCACATACACTAAACTTAGCCTGCAGCAAGATACATTTATACCAGGGTAAGGATTTTTTTTTAATCAGATTGTTTTTTTTAATCCTAGAGGGTTACAGTGCCAGTCTTTGCAAAATCACTAAAGGCAAGGTGGCTGGCTACTTCTCTGTGGAGAGCGGGTTAGGTAGGACAAGAGCTCGCAGCTGGCAGAGGCTGACCTTCAGGGACTTTCTCCAGCCCTGGATTCTAAGACACACACATGGCTGCTACTCTCCTTGACTGCCCTTTCTTAGATGGAGCTCGAGGCATTTGTCATCCTGTTGGTTCATCTGGGATTGTGCCTTCTTGACGCAGGCCTGAAGGCAGGAAGCGCGGGTATGTGTGTGAGGTCCCCTCTGGGGAAATGTGGAGCTGATGAGGCTGGGGCCTCCTGGTCCGAGGGTTCTAACCCTCCCCCCATCCCACCAGCCACTTTACCCATGACCATCCCTGCTTGTTTGAAGGGCACAGACGGATTCTGCTTGCCTCTTGGTGTCCGTTATTGCTGCAGTAGCCACACACCAAATACTGGCTCCTCCCCCCTCCTTCTGTCCCTTTTCCACCAGGGCAACAAATTACATGTTATGTCACCAAATATGTATGTTTGGCTTTGCCATACGTGGTATTCGGGCTCTGATTTAGCTGGTGGATGTGAAAAAAAAAATCACTAAAGCTCCTGAATAAGTCTATTGCTAGTGTATATGTTAAGAGCCCAGAAACAAAGAAGGTGAGGTTTACCAGGCATCTAAACCCTCATTATAGCTTCTTCCTCATTAGTGAGGTCATTTTGGCTGGAGAGGGGGTTGTACGTTGAGGGAGGTTGGAGATTCTATATCTGGATTATTATGGGACTGTTTTAGGTGCCTTTGGCCCTGAGGTCCCCTACCCTCCACCCCTCCCTGTTCTGTAGAAGGGGCTGGGCTAGGCTTGGAGGCACTAATTAATCTCTTCCTGCTTGAGTCCTGGAGCTCAGCCTCACAGCTCTGACTCCAAGGACCTGTGGCCAGCCGTCAATGCCTTCCCCTCCCATTCCCCCCAGCTGCTTCCATTTCTCAGGACTTCAGAGGCCAGCCTGGGGAACTTGCCCTGAGATTGTTCCCAGCCTCTCAGCAATCCAGGTGGTGTTCCTTGGCATTATTGTCTCCCTTCCCTCCCCCCAGCCCTGCACACATACATTTTTCAAATGCCAGTTCTGCTGCTAAAGGAGGTCGTGAGGTTTAGGGTCGGCTCAGGGGGCAGCTCGGTCCAACTGCAATCTGTCCGCTACTCAGTAACCTCCTGGGTGGGGTTGGCAGGTGGTTATTCATGCAGGACGCAGGCATGGCTAGATGCCTGGCCTCGGGCTTTGGGGAAGAAATCCTGCAATCACACCAGCTCAGCAGCTGCCTCTCTTCTGAAGAGCTGAGGCTCCTGTAATTTTCAGGGATCAAAGTGAAATCTGACAGCAGAGACTACCTGTGTTCAGAAATGAGCTGCCCCAAGTTCTATGCCGCTAGGGGCTTGCTGGGAGCCCCTGAGCTATACCTGCCCTGTCCAGAGTGAAGAGCGCTCCTGCCCTGCACCCTCTCAGGCTCCTCTCTCCCTCTTCTTCACCCCCTTCCCCGCCTCTCATTGGATGATTCTGTAGGAAACACTCAGGAAGGGGAGTGGTAGTTCTACTTCCACCTGGCATCTTGCATAGTGACAAGGGAAGCCATTTTTTCAGGGTGTGAATGTGTGATGTTCCCAGTGCTGGTCAGTTGGGAATGGATCATGGTGCCAGGAAACTGCAGCCAGCTCAGCCTGAGGCCTTGGCGTAGCTGAGCGAAGCAGCTGAAGGTGGTTGAAAATGCTATTAGCAGGCAGCCTTTGTCCAAGTGAAAAAATATACAGTGATTAAGAACTGAACTGCAGAAGGTACATTCCAGAGACACCCGAAGCTTTGCATACAGACAATGTGCTTTTCACCTTTGAGACATTTGGCAAAGTTAATCCAATAGAATTAGGATCCTTCAATTTCATGGACTGGGTTCACAAACATCCACCCTCCACCCTGACTAATCATTTTAGCTCTGTGGCCATCTTGATGGCTAGAAGCCTGGAAGAAGGTGGTCATGGAATCCTTTGTTTCTAAAAGGAAATGCACAAAAGGAACGGCTCCCTTTTGGGCAGTGCTTGAAGAAAAATCAACATGCTGCTTGACATGCTGTGGCTCTGTGCATTGCACTTCCAGATATTAATCAACAAAGCATGCACGGTCCAGTTTACCAGGAGCTTTTACCGCTTACTTACCTGGGACACTGATGCTAAACTCTTTGGCTGGGAGGAGGGCTGTGGCTCAGACAGTAACCCTGAGGGTTAGGTGGCATACTGGGGGCAGCAGAGCCAAGCACTAGGGACTCAGGCAGGACCCTTCTCAATGCTAAGGGAGTAAAGACACCTGAGCTGCTGCTGAGACTCTCAAGCTGATTTGCCCAGGTGACCTAAGACCAAAGTTACAAATCTCAAGTCTGCCAAGTCTAAATCCATGTTACTACGGGGATAGAAATCAACTGTGGTTGCCTCTGGAGGAGAAGGATGGCATCGTGTAGAAAGGGGCATGGGGGAACCTTCCAGGGTCATGGGGCATAGGTGACACCGGTACAAAACATCTGTTAAATTCACAGAACCACACATTTCAGATCTGTTCATTTTGCTATTATGTAATTATAACCCAAGAGAAAAAAAGAGATTAGGGAAAAAAAATCCAGCCATTGCATCTCTGCTTTGAAATTTCCCACTCCTTCCTCTTTTTTCAGTTGCTGGCCCTATGACTTTGCCTTTGGGCTTAATCCAGTGCTTTATCTACTCCAGTGTAGGAGAAACCCGATTCTTCAGCAAGAGGAACTAGAACTTGCAATAGAACCTGTATGGAACACTGTTCCTAGTGCATTGATCCAAACTGATCATTCTCGTTGTGATACAGGCATTTTTCATCCTGGCTAATGAAAATTGTGTTTTGCTGAATAGGGCTCACCAAATGACCTCAGTAAGCAAGAAGGGGGAGGCTCCCGGGATAAGCTGTCCTCTTCAAGGAGACTGAAGGTCACCCATGAGTAGATGATGCTTGGGCTCATAAATGATGAGTGTGCATGAAATCACGGGCCTGGGGAGGAGGGCTTGCTGAGAAGAGCAATCAGGAGCCTAAGAGCCAGGTGGGAAGGTAAGGGTCCTGGCTTGGGTTTGGCAGGAGGGGAGCAGTCAAGAACCTGCCTAACTTCATCGGGTGACTCTTCTGGAGGTTGGTGCCCCTGGCACCCCGTCTCTACTGAGCAAAGCCAAAGGGATGATTTCAAACAGGCATATAAGGGATTCTGTGACACCTCCTTTCTCAATGACGTTTCATTCTGGGGAAAGAGTGCCACTTGCTTGGGGTAGTTCAGGGGTTTTAGAATCTGCCAGAGAAAGACAGGAAAATCCATACTTAATACAGATGAGTTTCAAAAAACTTCTCAAGTCTCCATTTCTCATCAACTCAGCCTCTGCTGAACTTCATGGCCAAGTGGAGCACATGAAAGGGGAAAACCCGGTCTTGGGACTAGCCAAAGATCACACACTGCTAATCCACAGTAGGGCCAGGCTGGAGCCCCACAGGGAGGAGGAAGCATGCTTTAGGCTTCCTCACTCTGCAGTAGTTGGGGGCCAGAGCCTGTGGCAAGATCCATTCCTGGGGTCTACATTACACTTGGGTCCTTGCAAAGCTTTCTGATCTCTCTCAGGAGCTGAAGGGCATTTTATTTGGCTTTAAAATATTCTATTTGACTTTTAAAAATAAGATACCACAAACATAAAACAACGCTCAAATAAAAAAAATCCAGAAATAGGTGAAAATTGAATTATAATAAAAAAAAGTTCACTGGCTAAAGAATTAATATTCACTCATATGCATTTAAACCTGTCAAAAAATAAGGAATATGATCATAATAAAAGTAATGGATTCTTTTGAAACAGCTCACTATTTTAGGTACAGCGGTAAAAAACCAACCAGATTTTGCCGTGTAAAATGGTGGGTCTATGGAATCTACCAGTAGTTATATCATCTGAAAACAATTCCCATAAAATATCACTGGGGCCATTAGCAGTTTCAGAAACCTTACTCTGGCCTATAATGGCAGCTACCAGTGCTTTTTCGTCTTAATTTTTTCCTTTAACTTAGAAAAGGTAAATTGCCAGTGCTCCTAAATGTGAAAGGTACTAAATGTGAAAGGACCAATCTATGCTGTGATCTCCCAGGGACTTTCTCTTTGAATTTCTTATTGCTGCCCAATGGGGTGGCGTCAATATCCCAGGAACTCTCCCATCTCAAGTGCCTTCCTCTTCAGTTAGCATGGACCTTGATGGTGATGGGGTGGGAATGGTCCCATTACCAGGGGTCGGGGTTAACTACTGAGGACAGTTACTAACAGCTACCTGACAATAGAACATTGAACAACTATTGTGTGTCAAACACACCAGGCATTTTACAGACACTGGTGTTAATGTCCACACCATCCTTGCCAGTTCTGCATTACTTTAAAGTCTTACGATATCTTAGGTTAAAGTCTTATGATATATCGTGTCAGGATAGATGAAGAAACAGGCTCAAATAGAGCTTGAGTCCCTGGGCCGAGAGCATACAGCTAGTCAGTGGCAGAGCTAAGCGGGTCGGGCTCCATAAGCTTTCTACTTTGTATGTGGCCATCACGCTCAAGGAAGGAGGCAGATGGAGATGCTCAGAGACTAACGACGCCTCCATGCCAATCCACACTGGGCAATCTTTTTGGGCAGCCCAGGGAGATCTCCTCATCCTCACTGAGAAAGAAGCTTCCACTCCCGGACATGCCAGATACCACTGCAAGCATTTCTGCTCTGTCTGGGGTCCTTCCCCTCATCATATTTGGGACTCCTGAGAGGGAAGCCGTCATCTTTTGGCTGGCCTAGCCCAGCAAAGTGAGACTGGCTATTGCACTGAGCTGGGGCCCCTGTCTCCAAAGCCTGGCGTGCATGGCTTTAAAGTGCACCTGCTGGGCAGGCCAGGTGAAGCTAGCACTTCTGTTTGTGCTCACATATTATTGGTGCTGATGCCTCTAGGGTCTCCATAGCAACTGTCCCAGGCAGGAGGGAAGCAGGTGTAATGTTTACCTTTCTAAGGAGGGGCAGGCGGAGCTGTCTTACTCTAATTGGAACCAATTCCAATTAGAACCAAGTGCCTAAATCCAGGTGTCCCAGCCAGGCTGGGGGAGCCCTCTGTGGGTGGCATTTCTGCCTCCTGCCTCCTGCCCTCCATCATGCTCATCACATATGGGGCTCTTTGCAAAGGCCAGCCTCTCTTGTTAATTTTGGCGGGTGGTAGGAGAGCTTCCTCCGTGGTCCCCCAGCTACGCAGGGACAAATCCGGAACCAGGCAGCTATGCCAAGAGTGACAAGGGGGGATAGCATCTGTGCCCTAAGCTGGTGGCACAATGCCCAGGCGCAGATTCCCCAGCTTCCTTTCCAAGCTGTGCCTTGCCACCTTGCCTGTGTTCTTTCTATGCAGGGAGAAATGTCCCCCTTTTCATATTAGATCTCCATCTCTCCTTCCTCTGGTTCTGACTGAACAACCCTGGTGCTCTTTGTATACTCAGCTTACAGGGAAGTTCTTGGTGGATTCAGGAGTGGAGTGGAGGTGGGCATTCCGCTTGCAAGGCCCCTCAGTAGTATGCCTTCCTGTAGCCCATGCAATGCCTTCCTCTTCCCCTGTTCCTCCGTCTCCTCCCCAGATATGCTTTAGGATCTTAGTTCCGGTTCACTCCAAATTAGGCAAAGGTCAAGAGACTCCAGGAAACAGGGACATGGCTGTGTTGCTACTAGCAACAATGTGATACTTTTTTCCAAGTAGGATGTGCAAGTGACCCTTGACCATGGCTCCAGGGGAGAGTGCCACTGAAGTTTAGTGGAAGAGACAGCAGGTGGAATCATTTGCTTGGCAACTCTCCTGCAGAACCATGGGGACTCTAAATCTCCTTCCCAAGGGCACCTCTCACCTCCTATGAACAAGTTCAGCCAAAACTCATCTATAGGTTGGGGTCTGTGGTTAAGCCGGCTGCCAAAGCAGAGTCTAGAAGGCACAGGCAGTCAACATGAGGACTGCCCCCCACCGCCCAAAAGCATAATCCTTCCATGAATGTCCATGTCCATCTGGACACAAATGCAAGGAAGGCTGGCTTATTTCTCTTTCTTCCCTACCACCAGGAATGCGCTTCAGTAGGCATTTATCACACATGTATTTCCAACCTGAAAAAGTACATTAGGGGATGGGTCAAACAGCATTTTCAGGGATCTCTAGATAGAAACTCAGGTCGGTGGAACTCCCATCCACTGGGAACCTTCTTCCCTACAGACCCTTTTTATATGTTGCTGCAATGCTTTTGGTGCCCATGGGACAGCGGGTAGGTGCTTGCCCAACCTTCATCTCTCCTGATGGTCTAGTAGGTAGAAATGTTCCTGGGGGACTTGGCCCTGGGCCACAGGGGAAGGGTTGTGGACTCTGTAAGTGCAAGGATGCTGCTGTTGGATTTAAAAGCACCATCAAAGGTAGTGAACATTTCTGTCTTGTTCTGCTAGGGGTTTAGGAGAAGCGATCAGCACCTAAAGACATTATTTGCACACTGCCTCTGAGACAAGGGACTCATAGCTTAGCATCACTTCTGGACCCCTGGCTCATTGGCCCTTAGGAAGAAAAAAAACTACAGGTGCAAAAAATGGGCAGAAAAAAATGGGGACACCAAAAACTAGGTGCTGCTGACTGTTCCTGGAACAAGGGTGTGGGAACAAGGGAGGTAGGCAGAGACAAGGCCACGGACAAACAGATCATCTCTTCCAGATTTTGGAGCACCTTCTGTGCAGAAGGATCCCAAAAAAGGTTAGAGAGTGCGGACGCGGGGATCACTCACCCACTGCTGGAAGGAAGCCACCTCGGGGGTGAAATGCAGCGGCCATTCTGACTCTGCGCCAGCAGCACTAGGCAATTGTGTTTTTAAGAAGGGAAGTGAAGAATAACTTATCCAGCTGAAACCATGAATACCTGTGGCTTTCGGGGTGCCCCTACCCAGACATGCACACAGCTGCAGCGGGCATGCAATGCATGCGCAGAGGCACATGCGAGTCTGCAGCGTATGTTACTCACAAGTCATACACTGAACACAGAGGCATAGGTCAGGCAGGCAATACATGCACCTGTGTGCTACAGCCGTGTACACATATTCATGTGCGTGTTTACACCATAGGCACTTACAGAAGCATCTCATGCAAGCTGCATAAGCAATTAGGTGATTGGCCGCAGAGCTTTATATCAGGCTCCTACGATGCCAATCTTTGACAAACACTGCAAACTTAAAGCATTTACTTTAAGATACAGATATAAACCCCAAATTCTCCCCCGGAAGAAGCCATTCGTGTCAGTGGAAATGGCCTCTCTGCTTCTGTTTCTGTCAATACTACAAGCAGTGGAAAAGCATGTACCCCAGGGATCTGGTTTAGGAGGGATTTCAAAGCATCCCCTGCCACTTGCTTCTGACTCCTCCAACAACCCCACTTTGTAGTGTGTGTCTAAAAAAATACAAGCCTTTGTTTATCTGGCAGATGGAGCAACCAGACTCGCTGAGGTTGTATTGCTCAGGGTGGCTCCAGGCAGGCAGACAGCTGAGAGGTGAGGGTTTCTGGGAATGAGGCTTCTGTTGTGCAGAGTGCTACAGCTGGAGGACTGCATTTCACGCTCTTACCATGGAGACAACTACTCCTGATCCGTATCTGGAAGCAGGAGGTGTCTCAGGGTTGTGCACCTCGATGCGTGGGTGGGAGGGGGCGGCGGTGGCAAATGCCAGATCCTGACAGTGTATGCAACATTCTCTAAGTGGCTCTCCCCACCCCAGCACCACACAGCTCTCATGGGCTGGGAAGTGCTTAGGGGCCCCACGTAACTGACCGCAGGGTAGAAGCTGGCCTGCCAGTCACCTCGGTCCCTCCATTCCCAAGGAAAGCAGAGAAATTAGCTCTGGACTTTAAAAGTGAGCCAATAATAATAGCTACCATATAGCAAGTCGTTCGGCAAGCGGTCACTATCATAATTAGATGTGCCTTGCACACCACTGTCATACATGGGATATGCACGTCCCCAGCCTCGATCGCAAAATACATGATACCTACTGCAGAGAATATTGTTGGAAATTAAGTAAGGTAATACAAGCTAAGCATGGGGGGGGTGCAAACAGCGTAATAATGAAAATAATAATACAAAGAGTTCCACTTGAGCATGTATACTGCAAACACTCTGCTAAGCCCCCAGTGTATTTGTTCCCCACTTAATTGTTGCTCTTATCTCCCTTTCACAGATGAGAAAACCGAGGCTCAGAGAGGCTGCTAAGTGGTAGCGCTGAAATGGAAGCAAAGTCCCTCGCTGGCCAAGCCCAGTACGGGGCAGACACCCATACTATAACACTGCGAGCCCCCCCGAAATGGCAGTGACTACTATTCTGTCCTCGTTTAGTACCAGCATCCCCCTGTGCAGCAGGCTGGGGCTGTGCTCTAACCATCGGCCAGGTGAGCGGCTCCCCTGGGGTCTTGTGCCAGTCCCAGGTGGCTGGACAGATGTCAGCCAGGGCTGTCTATCTCTAACCCAGCGCTTCCATGCTCTCTGGTGGCCACCAAAGGGGCATTGTTCTCAGGGCAAAGTGAGCAGGTCAGTCTTCAGTGGGGGACGAGAATGCAGTTGGAAATGTTGTGCCAGGTTTCAACAACAGTTGGCTCTGGGTGGCAGGTGCTGCTCAGGCACGCTCCAGGTGTGACCCCCTGGCTACAGTCAGGGTAAGAAGTAGTCTGGACAGCTCTGGGCAGTCAGCCCTAAGGAGCCTCTCCGAGGTGGGTCCCGCAGGGACACTGTATACCTCACTGTGGTTATTCATGTGGTCCCAGGGAGTGTGGAGAAGAAGAGGCCCCTGAAACTAAACCTGTGGAAAGCCACTGAAGGGCAGGTCGGGGGTTCCAGTGGCCACCCCACCTGCACTCCTTCCTGTGATCCTTCCCATAACATCCTACAGATCTAGAAACAATTTAGGAAAAGCTGTTATTGAGAGCTAGCAAATGACGGGCTCTGGAGCTGTGCCATTACCAAGGAAACCACCATCAAGTATATGATTGCCGTGTTGTGATCGGTCACAAATGCTAATGGTTGGCTCCTTTACATAGTTAGAAAAATGGATGCCCCAGAACCTTCCAGTATCATCCAGGACAGAAAATCCATCAGAATTTCCTCTCTACCTTTGCCGCAGATTACAAGGTTGGATTGAGTTTTGTATTGGCTGCTTTATGTCTATTTTCCAACTTAATTTGTTATGATGTAAAGGCCAGGGCCGCTATCCTTGCTTGATGGGCTGTCTTTTCCCATTAGGCATGGGGGTTCAGATGCACCCCACTCTTAGCGCAAATGAGAAAGGCCAGGGACATGGCATGGAATGGTTCTCAAACCATTCTCAGCCTGTGAAAAAGCATGGGTGCCTTCTGGATCCCCATTACCTTTCCCTCCCCATATCATATCCAGGCACCAATGGTGCCCGACAGAGTTTTAAAGGACTGTCTGAGGGGACATAGTACCAATCAGCTCTAACTGGGTTTTCTTTAGCTTTAAAAAATGTCTTATTAAAACTTTGCTGACTTCACGGGGATCGCCATGTATAATGAGAGGCCTTAAAGAATCTGAAAGCAAGAGATGAAGAGAGGGAAAAAAGCCATAAGCTGTAATCACCATAATTATACAATCCCATGATGAGTTGAAAGCAGCCCTGGTGAAGCCCGAGAGAAGACGAGTGTCATCTGCAATCGTGTTGGTCTTCAGGACAGCTGGAAAGAATGTGACATGAGAGCCCTTCCTTCCCCTGAGTTAGGCTGAAGATAAGTCCTCAAGGCAGAGCCCAGGAGGTGAGCGCCCCAGAAGGGCAGTTTCTCCCTGGTCTAAGGCCTCTGGGAGCGTGTTCTGCTCCTGGCTACGTGGAGATAGTATGGGTGCCAGCTTGCCCACCTGAAATCTGCAACTGGCACTGGGTAAGAGGCAACTGGCTTTCTCACCTTTTCCACTTTCCACAAAGCACCCTTTCTGGATGGGAATGAGGACAGGCCAAGCGTTTTCCAACTCAGAGCCAGGGTGTCCCACGCACATGCCCACCCCGGCTGTGCTCGGCCTGACTGCGCTACAGCCGCTCAGCTGCCCTGTGCCAGCGGGCGCCTGTGTCCTCTGCTCGCTGACCTCCTTTCAGGCATTCAGGGGAGAAAGCCCTCTTGCCAGAGCTCAGCTGCAGCAGCAGCGATTGGCTTAAAAAAAACAAAAAAAAAAAAAAAAAAAAAAACGAAAAAACAACAAACAAAAAAAAACCCAAAAAAACAAAAGGCAAGGATGACATGTGAAAGGCAGTAATTCCACTCCTTGACAGTTTTCCTTGCTTTGCCTGTGTCATCATCTGGCTTTTTCTCCCTCAAAGGCAGAGGCTAATCTGACTCCTCCAATCTCAGCAAACTCCCTCATATGATCCATTCTCCTTTTTTAAGGGTTATTTATAAACCATAGAATAAAATACAGTAGGATCCATTTAACAAGTAATGCATTGGAGGATTCCAGCTAAAAGAGATGATAGAGGGTGGCTGTCATCTAGGTGGCTCAGTAAGTTGAACACGTGACTCTTGATTCCTCCTCAGGTTGTGATCTCAGCGTCGTGAGATCAAGTCCTGCATTGGGCTTTGCCACACTGGGTGTGGAGACTGCGTTAAGATTCTCTCTCCCTCTCCCCCTCCCCTCCATTTCTCCTTTTCTTAAGAAAAGAAAAAAAAGATAGAATCCAATGCAGAAGTCTGCTCTGTGATACCCTTGGCCATTCAGCTTCTGAATATTTCCAGGGAGCTCAGTGATCCTCCAGGTGACATATCCCACTGTTGGGAAGTTGCTACTATTATTCTCCAGTACAGCGGCCCTCCCTGTATCTTCTACCCATTTCTTCTAGCCTTGCCTGGAACTCCCTAGAAAGGTCCACTTACTGTGGAAGATACAAATATATCTCGTGATGGTTATCTAGTCTCCTGAGGGGCTGGACATCTTTATCCCCCCTGGCATGGTTTCTCCAGTGACTCTCTTCCAGAATTTCCCTAGATTGTTCAAGTTCCTGACAAATTGTGGGTGCTCAGAACCAAGACTCAACACAGCCTAGAATAACATGAAAACAGTGAGCCACTTTTCTTTTCTCTTTTGGCCATTCCACTTTGGTTATTACAGCCTAAAGTAGCTTTTTTTTTTTTTTTTTAAGGCAACTGCATCTTGCTTTTGCTTATATGAAGCTTGTAGCCAGCTACAACCCAAGATATTTTTTTTTACTTGGATTACAGCAAAGGCTATGAATGCATCCTATAGTTATGAGGCTGAATTTTTTTAACATAAATTTTATGTTGTTAAATTTTATGTAGTTGTTTTTGACCTACGATCCCACCAGAAGGAGATACTTTTCAAATAGAATTCCATTGTCTCCCGAATGAGCAACACCTTGCAATTTCAGATCTGTTAATATGACTGAGGTGTTTTCATCTGAGTCCTCACAAAGGAGGTCAACAGGACAGGGCCATGTGGCCTACCAGAAAGGCAGTTTCTAGTTGACACAGATCTATGAGTTCACCCTCTTACCAGTCATTAAGATGCCATGAATACACTTGCTTTACCCAGTTCTGGCAAACACAGAGAGAGTGTTGGTGGAGGGGGAGAAGGGAAGGAACAGATATTGGTTTCAACCTTACTGCACTAACAGCAGGACACAAATAAATATTCTCTGGAGCAAGGGGTGTAGTGATGACAGTCATCCTTCTATAATCAGCCAGGCTGACAGGGGAGTTGTGGAAAGTTCCTGCCAAATATCATACCGAGAAGAACCACTCCTGTTGGGGGCCATGGTCCTCAGGTTGAAAGGATTTGGCTGGGATTAGGGAGAGTG